TACTAGACACAGTGTGGGAGGATGGGAGGCGGCAGAAGGTGAGAGATAGGGAAAAAAAGCAAAATATACAGGAAACAAGAAATGGAAAATTATTTGTTGATGATAACATGTATGTTGATGTGCTTCATGGAGCTAATATACGATTCAATCTATAGATGTCCTGCTCTTTTGTTTTTGTATAATAAATAAGAAACATACTCCTGCATAAATTAAAACATAGGTTGAATTAAATGAGTGTTTTTCTGGTTGTATTTTACAAGAGAAGTATGATCCTAAGAAGAAGGTTAACAAGAAGTTTATGTATCTGTTAGTACCAATTAAGACAACAGCATTGATTTTAGAGGGTTATTAATAGATAAATACACGTCTGTGGCGCATGGAAAAGTAATCAATATGTGCTATCGACATTGAGAAGTCAGACATAGAAATACCATTTTTGTCAGCATAGTTTTCTTTTAAAATTTAAATGGTTGATTTTACTCAGAGGTATAGTCCTATTACCTTCATGGGATTTCTGAAATACTCACAGTGAATAAAAGTCATGTACAGATGGTTAAATAAGTTTAATGGCCTTAAATCTATTGCGTATTTTCTTAAACATAGATGGGCACTTTCTCAAAAGGAATTTCGATTTTTTCCCTCAAAAAATAGAGAACAAAGAGAGCGAGAACAGGCTGAACTCGATGGAACCAGTGGCCTAGCTGAGTTGGACCCAGAGCCAGTTATTGTTAATCCTTTCCAGCCGATAGCATCTGTAATCATTGAGGTACGAGTGGTGGCAAGTGTAATTTTTCTATCGTGAGTTATGAAGTTGGAGTTGGGGAAGGGGGTGAGAAGTCAGGAAAGAAGAGTTGGAGGTAGAATGAAGTGTTTTTCTAGAGAGATTATGATATTTCTAAAAGAAATTAAATGTAAGAAACTGATCAAAGATTTGCTGCTTTTCCTTCCTCTTTACATGTACCTATAAAAGGTAAATATGGCTTCCAAATTTAATCAGAATGAAAATATAGGTTGAATGTAGCAGTTATAGTTACTAGTTTGACGAATCTGTTTCTTGTCATTTATTTCATATTGCAACATGTTTACTCTTATTTACTTTGCCTTTGTCCCTGCATTGTTGTTACTCTAGCTTTACAATATTATCTGGGTGCCTGTAATGCAAAAGTATGTAAACAATTTGTCTTCTCCAGATATTTCAGAATGTTTGAAACTACAGGAAATTCTCCTATATTTGAATACATTTTAATTTTCATAGCGAACGAATGTTAGCAATGTTAATTTATAGATGCTAATTATGAAGACGTTGAGGAGCTGTGTGTGTGATGTGTATATGTGTCTGTGTCTGTGTCTGTCTTCATTTTCTGGTGTCCAGGGTTTGCATTGGCTCTGCTTTAATCACCATGTCTCCCCCAAGGCAGCTTCTTAACCCCGCTCCCTTCCCCATTTATTCAGAGATCATTGTGGAAGCTGCCTTGCAGGTCCTGCCCCTTTGTTCTCCATTCCTCTTCCCCTGTCACCGCCTCCTTCCACACAGGTGCTCAGCTGGAAAGGTGGATGGTTGTTTTTCCTTGGGGCTGCTTCTGAGGAGGGAGGCAGCTCCATAGGTAAGAAGATGACTAGATCATTCTGGTGTTGCTGTATTTTAGTAAGTAATTAGCAGAATAATTAGTAATATGAGATGCTTGCTATTAAGTAGCTTAGATTTAACTGTGTTAAATCTTTTACTAACACTTACACAGCATTTCCCCTAAATACGTGCTTTTCTGAGTACGGGAAAGCCTTCATTGTAGCATGAGCCATTGTTTTGTCTCCATCTTATCAAATATTATGTGTGTGTCAGATTTTATATTCTTTTGAAAAATTGACAGAGAAGGAAATCAGGTTTTACTTTTCATTTAGAAACATTAATTTGTTCTTATGTGTGTAATAAAGCCCACCTTGTAACTGATGACCAGTTATCTTATAGTACTATGGGTATAAGTTAATTAGGAGGACCTGATGCTTCTCTCAACATCCTGTTTTTTTCACAGTATAAAGAAGTGTCCAATTCTGTTTTATAACACCAGAAGAATGTATCAGAAGTCTAAATTAGTAGCACGGGGAGAGTACAGTTATTATGCTTTTAAATGATGGTAATTTTAAGATGGTCAATAAAGTAATGAAAACAGATTAGCTGTAGTCCCCTTTCTACCATATATTTCTTCTTTTTTATTCCACAAAACTGTTCTATATTAATATGTTTTTATCATACAGAAGCACCTAATATTTCTTTAATTTTTATACAGGTAATAAAAATGATGAACTATTGTGAACTCTCAGTTCCAGAATAAACAAATCAATGGAACAAATAGTCATAAATCTAATTATATATGAACATTTAGTATAAGATACAGGTATTATTTCAAATCTGAGAAAAAAGAATTTTGGAACGGATGAACAACCATTCAGAAAAAAAGTAAAGTTGTTGAACACTGAATACCAATCTAAATGTATTCTCCAGAATATTCTACATGGATTTATTGGGTTGTCAGAAAAATCATGATGCAGTTTTGCATAGAAAAAATACGTTATGACTTTAACAATGATCCAATATTTTTAAAAAATGAGACCTTAAAAATATTGGTTGAAAATATAGTTAAGTATGTACGCTTAGAGGAGAAAAGACTTTCAAAGTAGGACAGTCAAGCCTCAAATCATAAAGTTAAAAAAAAAAAAATTGGTTAGCTTTTGGGGCAAGAAGGTGGCATAGTGGTTAAGGCACTGGACTCCCACACAAACGATTGCAGTTTGAGTCCCAGACCCAGCAACCTGAAACTCAAGCTAGTCTCGTGTGCAAGTGCACCCAGAGTCCCCAGAGGAGGATGCAGTGATTTCTCACTTTTTCTCTCTGTCTCTCCTGCAAACGCATGTACCCTATAGCAAAAATCTCTCAAAAAAAGAAATAAATAAGTAAAGGATAGCTCATACTGTACTCAGTTTTTAAAAGCTATTCTACAAAATTGAAAGACAAAATCACAAATTATAGTGAAAGATATGAGACACATAAAACAAAATAAAAAAACAAGAACAAAAAACATCCCAACAACTAGAAAGATAATCAGAACCTAAGGAAAAATGAGTATTGAGTTATCAGTCAGTTCTTTAAGGAAATAGTAAAAATAGCAGTTAGAGTATTTAATAGTTCAAAGCTAAATTAAATTTTAAAAATAAGGTGAACGTGTTCATTAGTTTAGCAAAAATATTGAAGGTTGATAATGATATGTATCATTGAAAAAAAGAATTATCATTCACCCAACACTTTGTCTAGAGTATAAATTGATTTAATTTTTGAAATGGGAAGTTCGTGAATGTATGTCACATTTTAAATTGTACCTGGGTTAGGGCCAGCAGGTGGTGTGGTGATTAAGGTGCTGGACTCCCACATGACTGACTACAGGTTAAGTCCTTGGCCCAGTGCTTGACACTTATGCTGGGTGCATGTGCATGTGTGCCCAAAATCTCGAGAGGAGAATGAAGGAGAAGGGATTGCAGTGTGGCCATCACCCTTGCCAGGTGATTTTGCACTTTTCCTTGCTCTGTCTCTCTCCAACAAGTGCATGTGCCCAATGGCAAAAGCCTAATAAAAATGAAAAATAAATAAATAAAATGTGCCTGGGCCAGCCTCAGAGCCTAGTGGTTAAGAGAACTACATCCTGCCTGGCTGACCACACAGTTTTCTTTTTTCTTTCTTTTTTGGAGAGATTTTTTTTCTTTGTCCCTGCATTGTTGTTACTTTAGCTTTACAATACTATCTGGGTGCCTGTAATGCAAAAGTATGTAAACAATTTGTCTTCTCCAGATATTTCAGAATGTTTGAAACTACAGGAAATTCTCCTATATTTGAATACATTTTAATTTTCATAGCGAACGAATGTTAGCAATGTTAATTTATAGATGCTAATTATGAAGACGTTGAGGAGCTGTGTGTGTGATGTGTATATGTGTCTGTGTCTGTGTCTGTCTTCATTTTCTGGTGTCCAGGGTTTGCATTGGCTCTGCTTTAATCACCATGTCTCCCCCAAGGCAGCTTCTTAACCCCGCTCCCTTCCCCATTTATTCAGAGATCATTGTGGAAGCTGCCTTGCAGGTCCTGCCCCTTTGTTCTCCATTCCTCTTCCCCTGTCACCGCCTCCTTCCACACAGGTGCTCAGCTGGAAAGGTGGATGGTTGTTTTTCCTTGGGGCTGCTTCTGAGGAGGGAGGCAGCTCCATAGGTAAGAAGATGACTAGATCATTCTGGTGTTGCTGTATTTTAGTAAGTAATTAGCAGAATAATTAGTAATATGAGATGCTTGCTATTAAGTAGCTTAGATTTAACTGTGTTAAATCTTTTACTAACACTTACACAGCATTTCCCCTAAATACGTGCTTTTCTGAGTACGGGAAAGCCTTCATTGTAGCATGAGCCATTGTTTTGTCTCCATCTTATCAAATATTATGTGTGTGTCAGATTTTATATTCTTTTGAAAAATTGACAGAGAAGGAAATCAGGTTTTACTTTTCATTTAGAAACATTAATTTGTTCTTATGTGTGTAATAAAGCCCACCTTGTAACTGATGACCAGTTATCTTATAGTACTATGGGTATAAGTTAATTAGGAGGACCTGATGCTTCTCTCAACATCCTGTTTTTTTCACAGTATAAAGAAGTGTCCAATTCTGTTTTATAACACCAGAAGAATGTATCAGAAGTCTAAATTAGTAGCACGGGGAGAGTACAGTTATTATGCTTTTAAATGATGGTAATTTTAAGATGGTCAATAAAGTAATGAAAACAGATTAGCTGTAGTCCCCTTTCTACCATATATTTCTTCTTTTTTATTCCACAAAACTGTTCTATATTAATATGTTTTTATCATACAGAAGCACCTAATATTTCTTTAATTTTTATACAGGTAATAAAAATGATGAACTATTGTGAACTCTCAGTTCCAGAATAAACAAATCAATGGAACAAATAGTCATAAATCTAATTATATATGAACATTTAGTATAAGATACAGGTATTATTTCAAATCTGAGAAAAAAGAATTTTGGAACGGATGAACAACCATTCAGAAAAAAAGTAAAGTTGTTGAACACTGAATACCAATCTAAATGTATTCTCCAGAATATTCTACATGGATTTATTGGGTTGTCAGAAAAATCATGATGCAGTTTTGCATAGAAAAAATACGTTATGACTTTAACAATGATCCAATATTTTTAAAAAATGAGACCTTAAAAATATTGGTTGAAAATATAGTTAAGTATGTACGCTTAGAGGAGAAAAGACTTTCAAAGTAGGACAGTCAAGCCTCAAATCATAAAGTTAAAAAAAAAAAAATTGGTTAGCTTTTGGGGCAAGAAGGTGGCATAGTGGTTAAGGCACTGGACTCCCACACAAACGATTGCAGTTTGAGTCCCAGACCCAGCAACCTGAAACTCAAGCTAGTCTCGTGTGCAAGTGCACCCAGAGTCCCCAGAGGAGGATGCAGTGATTTCTCACTTTTTCTCTCTGTCTCTCCTGCAAACGCATGTACCCTATAGCAAAAATCTCTCAAAAAAAGAAATAAATAAGTAAAGGATAGCTCATACTGTACTCAGTTTTTAAAAGCTATTCTACAAAATTGAAAGACAAAATCACAAATTATAGTGAAAGATATGAGACACATAAAACAAAATAAAAAAACAAGAACAAAAAACATCCCAACAACTAGAAAGATAATCAGAACCTAAGGAAAAATGAGTATTGAGTTATCAGTCAGTTCTTTAAGGAAATAGTAAAAATAGCAGTTAGAGTATTTAATAGTTCAAAGCTAAATTAAATTTTAAAAATAAGGTGAACGTGTTCATTAGTTTAGCAAAAATATTGAAGGTTGATAATGATATGTATCATTGAAAAAAAGAATTATCATTCACCCAACACTTTGTCTAGAGTATAAATTGATTTAATTTTTGAAATGGGAAGTTCGTGAATGTATGTCACATTTTAAATTGTACCTGGGTTAGGGCCAGCAGGTGGTGTGGTGATTAAGGTGCTGGACTCCCACATGACTGACTACAGGTTAAGTCCTTGGCCCAGTGCTTGACACTTATGCTGGGTGCATGTGCATGTGTGCCCAAAATCTCGAGAGGAGAATGAAGGAGAAGGGATTGCAGTGTGGCCATCACCCTTGCCAGGTGATTTTGCACTTTTCCTTGCTCTGTCTCTCTCCAACAAGTGCATGTGCCCAATGGCAAAAGCCTAATAAAAATGAAAAATAAATAAATAAAATGTGCCTGGGCCAGCCTCAGAGCCTAGTGGTTAAGAGAACTACATCCTGCCTGGCTGACCACACAGTTTTCTTTTTTCTTTCTTTTTTGGAGAGATTTTTTTTGCTATAGGGCACGTGCGTTCGCCACACAGACAGAGAGAGACATAGAGACAGAAAGCGAGAAATCACCCCACAGGGGGGATGGTCATGCCGCAATCCCTTCTCCTCCATTCTCCTCTTGGGATCTGGGGCACGCATGCACACACGTGAGTTTTAAGCCACTGGGTCTGGGACGTGAACAGTGGTCGACTACGTGGGAGTCCAGCGACATAGCCATTACGCTAACTGCTGGTTCCCCCGACCACACAGTTTGAACCCTGGACCCTGCAGCTGAAAACCATGTATGTATGCACACCTGAGAACCCTACAGGAGGGAGAAATGGAGAAGGGATTGAAGGAGGCATAACCACACTCCTTGTGGGGATATTTTTCTCCCTCTCTTCCTCTCTCTGTCTCCGTAGCTCTGGAAAGTACACACACTCTGATAAATTAAAAGGAAAAAAAAATGTGCTGACTCTATAATCCAGCAGTTCTAATGTTAAGAATTTACAGATAGAATAGGGCATGCTGGTGTAAATCTTCTATGGCTGACTGCATGCTTTGAGTCCTTGACTCGGCGGCCCGAAGAAGCAGCATGTGTGTTCATGCCCAGAATCCTGAAGGGAGAAATAAGAGGAGAAGCAATTGCAGTGTGATCATTCCCCAAAGGGGGAGTGCTTTCTCACATTCCTTCTCTGTCCCTCTGTGTTTCTGTAGCAAATGTACACACACTCTAACAAATTAATAAATAAAATAAAATAAAATAAATGGATAAGATTATTGTATTCCCTATAAAGTCAAACACTGAAAATGACTTTTGTGAATTGATAGGTAATTGGTAAAATAAGATATAACCATTCAAAATGATAATGTAATATTAAAATGTATTGGCTACTCAGAAGTTACATAAGCTAATACACATACCATCTATTCTTTTTTTTTTGGAAAGGTTTTTGCTATAGGGCACGTGCGCTCGCTAGAAAGACAGAGATAGGCAGAAAGACAGAAAGAGAGAAATCACTCCCCAGGGGGAATGGCTATGCTGCAATCCCTTCTCCTCCATTCTCCTCTTGGGATCTTGGGCACACACACACACACACACACACACACACACATGCCCAGTTGAGTTGAAGCCACTGAGTCCAGGACTCACACTGCAGTCGACTACATGGGAGTCCAGCAACATAGCCATTGCCCCAGTTGCTGGTCCCATACATACAACATCTATTCTAAACACTTGATCTATGAAAGATCATCACAAGTTTTTAGAAAATGTGTATTATAGAGAAACTGCATGAATTTCATAATTTTTTGCATCAGAGTAAGTTCATATTTTAATTCCAATTTTCCATGAACTTTTTGAAATACCCTTGTATTCATTAACATGGAAAGAAATATGTATAAAATAAAAATGTAAATTCATTTTTTATTTAAACAATAAATGCATACATATGTGTATATAGAGCGAGACAAACGTTTGTTTGTTTGTGGGTCATTGTAGGGAGACAAAAGTACCTCTTAGTAAATATATATCAAATTGTGGTCATCTATAGATTGTAAAATTACTGGTAATTTTTGTTTTCTTTATATTTTCTGTGTTTACTGAATGTTTGGCAATTAGCATGTTTTAATGCTATATTCAATAAATTTTTTTTTTTTTTTTTGCTACGCATCACGTGCGCTCACCAGACAGACAGAGAACGACAGAGAAATAGAGATAGCCATTACACTAACTGCTGGTCCCAATAAATAGTTTTTAATAGAAATCGTACATTGCCGTCGAAGTTGCAGAATGCTCTTGGACTATTTGATATCTCCCCTAAAAGGATCTTAGATATAACTGTTGTGATAAAGATAATATGTTTCTTTTTTTGATAGAATGAAAAGAAACTTGAAAAAGAGAAAAAGAAGCAAAAAATGGAGAAAGATAGTGATGACTGCTCACTGAAACATAAAACAGAACTTGAGCAAACAGAGACACAGAGCCAAATGAGTGACAGTAGCCAACAAAATAATGAATTCGGAATAGTAGAAAATTATAAGGAAGCGTTAACAAAGCAACTGGAGAATGAAGATGAGACAGACCAGCCATCATCAGAATCAGGTGACAAATGTACCTATTTAAAGTAATTTTCAAATGTGTGTGTGCACATGTAAACACAATGTGTGTGTCTATACATTTATATGTATATGTATGTATACATTTTCCTGTGTATATGTGTGTGTGTGTGTGTGTGTGTATGTTTCATTTCATTTTACTTACCATATTTCACAAAACAGGTACTATATATTTTTTCTTTAAATACAATATTTATTAGGTTTTTCTCAAGGTCTTTAGTTACTCATTAGCCAATTTTCTCCTAATTTTTTTTTCTTATGATGGCTTAAAATGTGTTCCTTTGGGATCAGCAGATAGCGTAGCAGTTATGTCAGTAGACTTCTACATGGTCAACCACAGTTCGAGTGCCAAACCTAGTGGCTTCAGAATCATGCCAGGTGCATGTGCATGCTTGCCCGAGATCCCAGGAGGAAAAGGGATTACAGCATGGTTATCATGCCAGGGACATGATTTTTTTACTCTCCATCTCACTGTGTCTGTCCCTCTCTCTGGTGAGCACATGTGCTCAAAGGCAGTAAAACCTCTTTTCAAAAACAAAAAGTGGCCCTTTGTAACAGAAAATTCAACGTTCAATTTATTTTTGTAAACAGAATACAGTGTATCACCCCAGGAATCCTTGGAATAAATTTAACTTCTTTAAGACTTTTTTGATTATCAAGCCTTATAATACTATAGTCATTTCCTTTATTGACTGGCTATTTCTATAGGGTGTAGTGATAATCATTAGAACTTTTTTAAAAATATTGTTAAAATAGCTATTTGACAGAGGCTGTATGCACTCTCTAGAGAGAAACAGAGAGAGGGGGAGGAAGAGGGAGCAAGCACCCCTCAGTGGAACATGGTCATGCCACAATTCATTCTTCTCCATTTCTCTAGTCTGTCAGGACTTTGGGCCTACATGTGTGCATACCCAGTGTGTTTTTCAGGCCACCAGGGCCAAGATTAAAGCCATGCAGTCAGCCATGTGAGCTCTGGCTTTATTAACCACCAGACCATGTGGCCATCCCATAGCCATTTTCTTCTGACTTTAATATACAAAATCTTCAACTCATTATAGCTTTCTTTTTTCTGACTGTTTGTATGATTTACCAGAAGTTTCATGTCTTTGATATTATAGAGAGACAGCCTACATTGGCAGTGAGACAGCCTAGTAAAGAATCTTGACTCTTATAGCTACTAGATATATGGATATATGTTAAGTTGTATTACATCTTCAGCCTTGAGTTTTCCTATTTCTAAAATAGAGATAAGCATCATATTTATGCATAGGCTTTTAGACTTGTTTGTAAAATTTCTCTCTGTAATGTCTCTAACACCATGCCAAGCCACATGAGGAGATGCCCGTAATCATTACTTCCTTGCCTTTGCTGGTTAGTGATATGGCTCCATTGTGTATAAGAATTTTTTATACTATCATAGGGTTTATTAAAATAAAATCTCAATTCCTGAGATGCAGATTAGTAACATGGATATTTTCCTGGCTGAAAAATTTTGAATATTAGATTTGGAAGTTATACTTTTTGTCATTTGGGAAGTTAGAGCAGCCATGTGCAAAGCCACATAACCTTGTTGGCATAGTTAAGAAGACCAACTTATTACAGCTGTCTCTGAGTTTTTAAAAATAACTCTGACATCTGTACATTTTGAAAGAACAAAATGATTTGGCAAATGAATTGAAAATATAGCGTAAGTGTATCTAAGATAGTAAATTATATAACTGTAATAATGACCAACATACTCTATACTTTAAAATGATGCTTTCAGGTGCATCATGGTATTAAACCATGCTGTTATTTAATGCAGCAATCCTGGAGAATGTTTTTCTCATTATATAAATGATGAAACCAGGGACTTAGAAAGACTGAGTAACTTCTTTTAGGTCATATATCTTGTGTGTGGCAAGGCCACAGATCATCTGTACCAAATCCTGTGGTCTTCTATGACCTTGAGATACTGTCCATTCCAAAGAACCATATTATTCTGGAGTTCTCTTTCTTTTCTCCCATCTATAAATCTGACAGCTCTGGTTGTAAGATTTCTTTATTTCTTCCTGGAGTGAAATGTCTCAAATGAGACTTGTTTCTTCAGAAAAATAATTTGTTTCTAAATATGTTTGTGTTACTTACTGCTTTATAGGCTTTACAGATACTGACAATGTCTTGTGTTACAGATAATTCTCATTTTAGAAAATGTATTACAACTGTATGAACTTAGTAGTTAAATGTATTACAAATGTATAAACTTAATAGTTAAAATACTTCAGTAACTTTGATGTTCAAAGTTTGGCCAACTACTATACTATCCTTGTTTACATTGTTAAAGTTTATACATTAACCTTGATATTCCTAAAATGTTTACATGTGTTTAAGTGAGAAACTAAGTTTTATTTTCTAAGAAGGAACACAAATTCTGGGCCAACAGGTGGCACAGTGTTTAAGGTGGCTCGAGTCACACATGGCCAAGGACAGTTCAAGTCCCAGACCTGGTGACTTGAAAATTTCTCCAGGGGTGTGTGTGTGTGTGTGTGTGTGTGTGTGTGTGTGTGTGTGTGTTTGTGTGCCCAAGATCCCTAAAGGAGAATGGAGGAGAAGGGATTGTGGCATGGCTCTCCCTCCTTGGGGGTGATTTGTCACTTTATCTCTCTCTGTATCTCTCTGCCTCTGACTAGTACACGTACCCTATGGCTATTCCCTGCACATTTTAAAAACACACACACACACACACAGGTTCAGTTCTTTTAGGTCTACTAATTCCATGTAACTTTAGTAACATATATTTATGTGGGTGATACTTTGTTTAGGAGTTATTTCAAGAAGTAATATGTGTAGATTTGATTGAGGTCTTTATTTTTTTCACATTTCAAAGGATTATTTTTTGACTCTATATACCTGGAATCATTCTGCAGATCCTACAGAGAAAAATCAACATCTCTTCTCTTCCCCAAGGCTGTTGTAAAATTCATGGAAACTCTGGCCATTAACTCATTATATTTGTTTAATATGACATTTGGAAGAAATATAAGTTCCTTTTGGAAATGTGAGGTTTTTTTAGAACTTAATATTGGGGACTGAAGGTTTCTGACTATGTAAATTGTTTTCATTCAATAAACTATCACTTAAAAAATGATCCTTTGTGAAAGCAAGTTCAGATTTGGTTAATGATAATAATTTCCAAAGTTAGAAGATATTTCTATGGTAATAGTATAATATTTTAGTTTTATTCTTTGTTTTCTGTTATAGAAGTTCACTTTTCCCAAAGGTAAAGAGTTTAATGTTTATATTCTTGTAGATAACAGTAAAAAGAAAACTAAGAAACTAAGAATGAAACGGAGCCATAGGGTAGAACCTGTTAATACAGATGACACTGCTCCTAAGAGTCCCACGCCACCCCCACCTCCTCCTCCTGGTGAGTAAATTGGCGACTAAAGGGAGAAATGTAATTTTTATTCAGTGTACATGCTATCCTGTGAATTTGTAGAAAAAAAATTCTTCACTTTGTTCAGAATTTGTTGAAATAAATACCTATTATATTTTTTATCAGGAAAAAATGTTTTATAAAAGTAAAAACGGTTAAGAAAACCTTACCAAGTACCTTCTAGTTAACATTTGAAACTAAAATGTAAAATTTTTCCAATATATTTCCAACGTACCTACCTACCTTTTAAGTTGTTATAAGGATTAAGTGGATTAATGCATATAATGCACTGGACACAGCTACACAATAATTGTAAGTAATTTTTCATCAGTAAGCATAACACTTCACCTACTATAAGTACTCAGTAAATATCTAATATCTAAATAAGTATGTTTATATTGGGGCATTGGAAAAGTCATGACTTATTTTTTTCTCTTTTCCTATGCAAAAACTTGTCATGACTTTAGTGAAAACTCAATGATATCTTTGTAGACCTATTACAAGGCTTTAGGTAGTAACATTTTCTTTGAGAAGTTCCTTAAAGACTCATTTTTAATATTCCATTTGATTATAAACATTATTTTAGCCTTCACTAGGGGTTAAACTGATAAAAGTCATTTAAAATGATTTAATGACTACTCAGTACTGTCATTCAGTACATTTGAACTGACATTAAATATTACGTACATGTCCCATCGAGGGAAGAATCCTCTCAACAGATCTAAAGAGACATTCTTTGACAGTGTTTTAAAATGTTTTTCTTTTTCTTTAGTTGGCTGGGGAACCCCCAAAGTTACTAGACTTCCAAAACTTGAACCTCTTGGTGAAACACGTCATAATGGTAATGCAAAAGGATCAGTTCTCAAATCTCATCTGTACATATTACATCCACTTTCCTCTGTCCCATAACTTCCACAAGCTTATATTTCATTTTTGGAAAAAATCTTGCAAATCTGCATCCATCATTTTTCATTATACCTCTGTTTTTTTATTTTATTTATTTATTATTTTAATGTGTATTTTGCATCTATAAAACTTCACTTGATATTTATCTCAGAATACAGAGATAAAAGAATCTTAAGCATTTTTTTATCCATTTTATTTGCCTGCTTGCCTATCTTTCTAACTGTCTATGTCTACTTTGGAAACCCAGTTCTAGATTAGGTAAATATAGACTCATCAAAAAGAAGCTTAGATGTTCTTAATGGACAAGTTTATTGTGCTAGAATTATATAACTTTTATTTGGAATTCTAAAAATATTTTATTAGAAGAACTCAGACTGATGTCCTATAACCAGAACTGCTTGCTATTGTATAAGATAGGTCTCTGTGGGGGCCAGCAGGTGACATGGTGGTTAAGGCACTGGACTCTCATATGGCTGACTGCAGTTCAAGCCCCAGACCTGGTGGCTTTTCTTTCTTGCTCTTTCTCTCTCTCTGGTGAGCATGTGTGCCCTGTAGAAAATTAAAAAAAAAAAAAAGATAGCTCTCTGCTAATCCCAACTGTCCTTTCTCTAGTTTTTGTGTCCTTGAGTTCTAGTACATCTAAATGGCTAGACTATAGTTTATGTGAATTTCATTCATTTCATAAATATATGCATATTAACACACACAAATAGTTATGAAAAGGGAAAGGTTTTTAATTTAAATATGAGATATTATGTTTATATTTAGTCTTGAAAAACTATAGCATCCTATATGTGCTTAGTGTGTTTAGTGATAAGTTACGCTGAATAGGAAGAAAGTTGCTAAAGACTTTATTGAATAACGAGAACAATTTTCTTTCTTCCATTTTTCCATCTCATCAGAATAATCTGAAACACAGTCAGCCATGTGGTATCTGGGATCGCTCAACTACCAGCCAATGGAGCCATGCCAGAAAATCTTATATTCACACTTTTTTTTCTTTTTGCTAGAGGGTACATGTGCTCTCCAGAGAAAAGGGCAGAGGAGAAAGCACCCTGCCCAACCACAGGCATGATCACACCACAGTCCCTTCTTTTCCATTCCTCCTTCTTTCAGAAATTTGGACATAAACACATATGCCTGGTTTATTTCTCAAGCTTCCAGGTCTGAGACTCAAACACTGTCATGGACCGTTTGGTGTCTGGCTGCCTTAATCAACAGGCCACAGAGCTGGCCTGTGAACATTTTCAATCTGTATTTTATCAGTAGTTATGTATATATATGTTTCACATTGAGAAATAAATCCGAGATTCTGCTTGACAAAAATACCAGATACACAAACTAAAGAATATTTTAAAATCTTCATGTTATAAAAGAAGATAAAAATTGTATGTATAGTTTTCATATTCAATTTTCACATTAAAAAGGTTGTTTTAAGTTGTGTGGTGGCAGTTAAGTTAGTCACTATGATCAATGTATCTCTTCCACAGTTAAAGTAATCAGAAACCTACTTGTAAAGAACAATTCAATTTTCTGGCAAAGAAATAGTGCAGAATCAACTGCACGAATGACTAATTTCTTGAGAGGGAAAAAGGTGTTTCTTGCATATGCATTTGATTTTTGACCATTTTAGGAAGATTTTTTTTTTTTAATTCTAGAAGGAAAGCCTATTAGAAAACATATCTACTCTGCTTTAATTGAGAGTTCTGTTACATCTTAAGATGCTCATGAATTTCGAATTCAAAAGTTTAGAAAAGGAAACACTTTAAATTTATCAAAATAATTGAGTATCTCTTTTTTAACTTTTGTGTCAGTAATAACAACTACATATACAATGTGCTTGGCAGATTGCCAAACACTCTTTATGTTTTTACCTCATTTTAATTCTTCCAAATAACATTTTGAGGTGGATAGCAATATCCCCATTTTTTGCATCAGGAGCCTCTATCCCAAGGTCACTTAGCTAATAAGTGGCACGATTAGGATTTGACTTTAAGGCTGTTTATCTTTGATAGCCATACCTTTAACACATTGTGTTATACATTACATTAAGGTTCATTTGTGTACCCTTTAGTTTAGTAGTTGCTTTGTAAAAATCACTCCACCATATTTTTAAAGTTTATTTATTTATTTCATGAGAGAGACACTGGCAAGGGAGACAAATACCCCCAATAGGATTCTCATATTGTGACCCATCCCCAGCTCCAGCTAGCCTGGATCATGAGCATGTGCAAGCACGTACTCTTGGTGTGCACGTGGGGACTCTGGGGCACCAACCCTGGACCTTCTCATGTGCGCCCACCATCACTGAGCACTCTGTTACTCCTGCACCCCTGCTGCTGACCTCCCCTAATTTTATACACCCACACACACGCACACACACACACACACACACAATCTTTATAAAATCTTCACTAAGCCATTACTTAGTGCCATTAAGTTTATAAGTCAATTCATGATAATTAAGGAGTAGAAATTCATTGTAAAGCAGTAAGGCTTTTTGTATAAAATATGCCCTAAATCACTGAACTGTATTAAAGCACTGTTGTTAAAGATTCCAATGTCCAAGAACATTGGAAAACTAATTTATGATTCTCCTAAAATAACTAGAAGTAACACCTATTGGGTATGAATGTGGAGTATCAAAAAATTGATATTGCTTATCAGAGCTTTAGCCACAGGTTCCATAGATTTTGAATAGTTTATATTTGTTCTGTTCTAATCTGAATGTGTAATTAGAAACACAAATAACAGGTATCCATCAGGTACAATATATATATATATATTTTTTTTTTTTGAGAGAGAGATTTTTGCTGCAGGGTACATTTGCTCACTAGAGAGACACAGAGAAAGAGATAGAAAGTGAGACATCACCCCCCCAGAGGGATGGCCCCACTCCAGTCCCTTTCCCTCCCTTCTTCTCTTGGGATTTTGGACACACATGCACATGTACCTAGCAGGAGTTTTAAGCCACCAGGTCTGGGACTCAAATGGTTGACTATGTAGGAGTCCAGTGACGGTAACTATTTTTGCCAACTCCTGGTCCCTCAGGTACAATATTTTTAAGTCAGATAGAGAATAATTTCTAACCTAGAGTCAGAAATTTACTCTAGCAGTTGTCAAGTTTTCTTGGATTCTGGCTTTTTTTTTTTTTTTTTTTTTTTTATTAATCGTCATCTCACCTACCAAGTCAGAATGTCTTACTTTTTAGAAGGAGTTGTATGGAAAATAATGACTGTGTTAAAAATACTGATTTACCATAATGGTTTCATGTGTCTGGTTTCCCTTGTTTACATAGATTTCTATGGGAAGCCACTGCCTCCCCTGGCCGTGCGACAGAGACCCAATGGCGATGCTCATGACTTGATTTCATAACTAAGTCATGTGGATGAGCTCTGTTCATATCAGCAGGTAAACTGGGACCTTTTCTTTTTCAAAGAAGAAAAACTCTAAACATGGATGACCACATCAAGGTAATCACAGCAATTTCACTGGGGAGATGATAGCCAAGGACCTTCCTGATCACCACTTGTCCGTGTTCTCCATGGTTAAACAGAAAGGACACACGTGACCAGTAGGTGGCTGGGGCATTTGGACTAAGCGGGTCCGTTTCGGTGATGACTCTGTTTGCACATCTCCTCTCAAGGGCATGTTTCTAAAGGAAAACTTCTTCACAGAAAGAGCCAATGGACTCTGCGTACTTTTTTTATTCTTTGTTTAATAGTCTTTATTTCTTTATATTAAAATTTTTTTGGTAAGATGTATGTGCATGGAAGGGGCACTCCTGGGAATTTATAACCTGAATTTTTAACTATTTTTATATTTTTCTAAAACTTCTGTTCACGAATTTTAATTAATATTATATTGATTTTGCACTTTTGTATAGATGCTTTGTTTAAATTGTATGTGGAGAATAGAGTTGATTTGTTTTTCACACATGAATTATATAAATAAGATATATTTATATGACTTGAGGTATGTTTTGTAATAGCATTGCTCTTGAAGTATACATACTAATTTGATTTAATTTTAAAATAATACCTTTTATAAGTAGCAGATTCTCAGATCTTTATTCTACCAAATGATGTGATTTGAAAGTGGTACCCAAAGAGAGTTCAGTTTTTTATTGTTGTTTGTTTTCTCTGGTGATCTCAATAAATGGAAGAGACTTTTACGTAAATTTTTTTTAATTAGTAAAATATGAACTGTGAGTTATTTTTAAAAGTCCCCAAAACCTATATTTGAAATGTTATGTACTTTCAGAGATAAAGGTGCCTCTTATCAGAATCTGCAGTAACTCTTGTAGCTTATTCAACATTTTCATGCCTTGAAATTAAAGGCAAAACGACTGAAAAAGCATCTGGAAGTCCAACGCCTTGTTTTATAACAAACGGTTTGGGCACTAAAGCAATAAGAATAAGGATGTTGATTCAAAATTACTTTTAAAGAAATAATTCCAAAATAATTCCTCAATTCAAAATGGTAACACTTCTCTTAAGAGTGGCATCCTTGTGATTCTCTATTCACCTGGCATTTAGACAAACTTTTAGAGATGTATTTTTATTCTGAGTATTAGATCTATAATGCCATAATTAACTGAAATCATACCTTTATTTCCAGATGAAACTAACATAAACAGAACAATTTCTATATCAACTTGTTAAGATTGACATGTTTGGTACCTTGTACTGACAACAGACATATACTATTGTCATATCTGATAATATTAGTAAGTGTGTCTAAGTGGATTTGCTTTTAAAATTTTACTTCAGAGTATCACATCTATTTACATTTTATAACTCACTGAGCTTTTATTAATCAGGGCATTTATTACTCAGTCAGCTTCATACTATTTACCTTAGAGTTTGTACATGGGACCTACCTAGCACACTAAGTAGAAAGCATTCTACTTCGGTTATAAAATCCCAACAAGTGGGATTAGCAGAAGGCGTAATGGTTACATCGCTGGACTCCCATGTAGTTGTCTGCGGTTCGAGACCTGGACCCAGCAGCTTAAAATTCTGGCCATTTGCAGCTTAAAATTCTGACCTCCCTATTGGGAGGATGGCGCAGAAGGGGTTGTGGTGTGGTCATCCCCCTTGGGGGGTGATTTCTCACTTTCTGCCTATCTAGTGAGTGCACACACCCTATAGCAAAAACTTCTTTCTCTCAAAAAAAAAAAAAAAAAAATCCAAACAACCTAAGTTAGAAAGGTAGCTGAAATGTAAGGAAAAGCATCACAGGAAGACATGTAAATGTTGAACTGGATTTTAGAGGAAAAAAATCCACATCTTTTTGGCTCCTTTTTTAACATTTACATTCACTCATTTTTAAACTAAATCATACTTTTGCCATCTTTTTGATATTCATCTACTTTGAGGATAAATACAATTTTTAAAAATCTTTATTTCCTACTAAATTTTACTATACTATATAGTAATTACTGATAGTATTTAACAAAAATAAAATTATTTTGAAATTAAATATATAATAAAATAGAGTCAATGTTTTATGTAGCTCTCTCAAAAATTTTATTTGCATTTTCAAAACATCCTAAAACATTTTAAAAAGATGTTTTGTAAATTCAGGTGGATTTTAACAATTAAATGCCTATTTTGTTATATGCTGTTTTTCTATTCTTAATCAGGAATTATGATGTTTTTCACATAATAAAAATGATTTTTATCAATGTGTGTTTCTCTTTTCATTTGGTGGATTTAAGTGATTTCCTGGGGCCAAGCAGTAGCATAGTAGTTGAAGCAGCTGGATCCCATATGGCCAACAGCACAATTTGAATTCCAGACCTGGTGGCTTGATAAGCATGCTGGGCACATATGTGTACATGCCCAATGTCCTGAGGAGAAGGCATTGCAGCGTGGTCATCTCGCCTAACGGGAGCTCTTCTTCTCTTTCTCTGTCTCTCTCTCTCTCTTTC